CTGTACCAGATTTTGGGTCTTCAATCTTTGCCTCCTAGTGCTCAATGGAAACCATAAAGAACCCTATCTGGATAAATCAGCCTTTGTGGCTTGTTTCCTTGACCATGCCGGAGTGTGACAGAACATTGATAACTGACATTTTAATGGATAACTACTTCAAACATTAGAAAAATGTCCATTGTTAGCTTAGTGTGGGTCTGAAGAGAGACCTTACATGTTTTAAGGTTCAAAGTAATGGGTGCCGGCTCCTTCTTCTCAGGGAATGCTATAACTTTATCCACCCTCCCCCCCCCAAAAATGGCAACCATTCAAATACATGGATGAAATACAAGTGGTCCATTCATCACCATTAGGGTTGTGGGCTGTCCTGTTTCCTCCCCTCCAAGATCACTAGTGAACTTAGTTATTGAGAGTCAAGCCGATTCCTATGTCCATAGCACCATGATTCTCTTTAAATTCACCCTAGTAGCATTGGTAACTAGAACACCAAAGGAGAAGATGGTACCAAAAAAAGAGAACAGTTAAGAACAGGTATTTTTGAAGGTGACTACAGCAGAGAAATGTGTATGTTATTTGTTCCCTCAGCTATATGGTTAGGTACACACACACGGCCCATTACAGAAAGACAAATTAGAACCGCTTCTGCAGTACCTTTTAAACAAACACAAAATTAATGAAAGAGCCAACTTCTCTTTTTGTTTGATTTTCATCAGAACTCAATTATAAAACCAGCTATCAAAAGATAATTTCCCATTAGGAGCTTATCCATGACACCTTCAGAAGACAATTCTGAATCCACGCTTGATATTTAACTGGTAACCTCAGTCATTTATGAATTCAACAAAGCACTAATCATTTAACATATGTATAAAAACAAACAGGATCTCTGCTTTAAAATCTCCAATGAAGGAGAATCCACCACCTTTTGAGAGAATCCATTCTAATGTCGAACAGCTCTTACCAGAACTATTTTTCTAAGGGGGAAAACTCACTATTAATGCCTCCCTTTTTATCTTATAATGGCAATGACGCTCACCTGAGAGGTGCTGGAACTGAGTCCCAGCGAGTTCTAGCTGAAAAAAGGCCATAGCTCTTACCATCAGAAAGTTCCCTTCTCTATGAGTATTTCTGACCATGGCATCTCACCCTTAAGCTTTTTGAAATCAGCCTTCTTAAAGTCCACTGAGCTTTCCGTTGCCTCTGTATTATGAAACCCAAGAGAGCATGTTCACTTCCTCCCAAAGTTCTCAGTACTTCTAATTCATTGATCAGTTCCTCCCTGTTGGAGAAGAACAGATCCAAGATAGATGTTCTCCTTGTTGCTTCTTCCACCTTCTGGGAAATGAAATTGCCAGCAAGGCAATGCAGAAATTTGTTGGACCTTGTGTGACATCAACTACCACTCCTCATTATTTCATTTTACAATTCTATACTACATGTGTGTATGCACACATGTATAGGCATGCATACACACCATGATCAACACATTAGGTCTTCTGCATGCCTTGTCCATTTTTACTGGAATCTCCAGCAGACCAAATAGCTACTGCACATTTCACACATAAATCAGCTTTCAGAGGCATAAATATCCACATACTTATCTCCAGCAAGTTCTTTATATTAAACCACACCATTATGGCCATCTGTTCCAATCTTCATAAATACTAGTATAACCACACAGTCATATAATTTGAAGGTTAAAAAAAATCATAACATATGCATTAATCAGAATAGATTAATAGTGCAATCTAATGCATGCATGCTTCAAAGCCCCACAGAGTTCAATTGCTTTCGCTTAGGTAAGTGAGTATAGGATTGCACCATAAATGGGGGGAAATTTCAATTGAGAAGTTGTTAAAAGGCTAAAAGAGTCCTATTTCTAAAGATGTAACTTTAGTAACACTAATTCTTCTTAAACTAGATGTTCATACAATTAATTTGCTACTAACCAAGAGGAATCTTTTGAACCATCCTGTACTTAAATTGAAAGGGGAACACAATCCACACCTCATTTACCCAAAATAAGGGAAGCACTATATAAGTGGAGCACTAATGGAAACATATTGGTCATTAACATGTTGAATCTGGAAATAAAGTCTCCTTAGGATAGCCAACGCAACAAATAATCTCAGACTAATAGTCTGGAATGTTTATACTGTGTGCTCTTTACTCAGATTTTTGCTCCTGTTCAGAGCCCAACCGATTTTCATTTTCAAAGTGTGGAAAGAGTTGAGATTAGCTGATAGACCTCAGGAGGTTTCAGCCCCCACCCCTACCATCACACACCACTCTCATTTTCTTCTAGCATGTGTCTTGGCTTCCTTAAACCATCTGGAGCCATTTCCTCTATAGGCATCTTTCAAAATACTCCTCCAACTTGTTAAAGATAAACATAGCGAAAGCATATGGACTTCAGTCACAATAACTGGAACTGCAACAAAAAGTTGTTGAGTGGGCATGTTTCTGTTCAGGATTGCAGCCAAGCTAGCCTGCACACCCTTTTCCAGGAGATTCAATTCTATGTCCCCTGTCCCCTCTAGTTTCCGTAACCCCACTCCCCCCACAAACATCAACATTTGATGCCCACTGAGCATGTTCAGTCATCACTGAGTGACTTCTGAAATCTTCCCCAAGTCTGTTGGTATCTCCTCTCTAGTGTGCTGATGGTGGTGCCATTTCTGCTACATAATGATTGGCACTTGAAGAACTGAACTTACTATATACAAATGTGTGTGTATAAACACACACACAAACATATTAAGGTAAGGTTTTGTTTGAACCCAAGTGAGAGCTGATTTATTCACTCATGCAGATACACATCTCGTGACAGAAACTTGTCACCTTCAGCAGCTGATAAACCTATTCTAAAGGCTAACAATCTAAAGGGAATAAACCTCAGCTGGTTTATAAAGGTTAATACGATTGGACAAAAATAACAAATTCATCTTAAACAAGGGTTTTAACAGCATATTTGGTCTAGCCCTTAAGCGAGAAAATGGGAAGTCTGTATGGAGAATTTAAAATAGGCAGAGGCACGACTTTTGATAAACCAACTTTGTTTGTGACCTCTGCTCCTCATTTATTTTCATATGGAAAATGCACAGTGCCCTATTCTAAATTAAAGGTCCCCAGAACTACTCTTGCACAGGCTGCTCAATTTTTTTTAGTTCTTGAGCAGAAAGTGACTTATTTCAAATATTACTAAATCAATGTTTGGTAATGCACCATATGATAATTGACCCAATGATTGAATGCATATTAAATTATTAAATATGTCTGCACAGTTTGAAAGATAGTAAAAGTTTGCAGCTCATTTAAGATTTCTTGCATTTTTTTCCAGCCCAATGTAAATTTAAAGGAAACCAGAACATTCCTATCATTTACCAACAAGCTTATAATGAAATCTATAAATTAGCTGGGCTACCATCATGATATCTGACTGCAACCATCATCAATATTCTGAATATAGTTAATGTTAATATTGAATACATCTAAGCATTAAGAACATATTGCCCTTATTTGCCTTTTCTTTTCAAGTGACTCACTAATGTTGTTTTGCTATTTTAAATAATTTGATATTATATAGTATGTTGTTATTTTCACTGATTGTGTTGTAAGCCACCTTCTGCAGGTAGAGACCCTGAAAGGTGGGGTAAAAAATCTATTTAATAAAATAAAATAATACCAGCATTTTCTGAATTACCCTATTCCACTTGCCTCTTTTAGAGCCATGATGGCATGTGCCACAGTGGTGAATTTTCAAAAGATTAATTTGCATTTGTGGAAAACTTTATCCTTAATTTTTTTTTTATTTAAAAATGTGAGGAAAAGAATATGGCTTGGATCCCATCATCTTCTTGTATGAGATTGTGTGTTTGTGTGTGTGTTGTTCTGAAGTGCCCCTCATCTTACAGCTGCAAACTTTCAAGGAGGACACAGCAGGCTGCTCGGACAAAGAAGAAATGGAAAAAGCTTTATTCTACACATGGAATTGATATTAGCATCATCCAAGCCTGCATAGTAAAATATATGAAACACATTCTGGTTCTTTGAGGGTTAATATTGTAGGTAAGATGTTTTCCCCCTAACTGTACCTGGGGATTTGATGAAGTAGCCCTTAAGTGTTGGATGGATCAGAGTATTAGATATACATATTAAACAAAACACAGCACCAGGTTCTTTATCACTGCCTGATGTCTTTCCTGGGATGTGGGAGAACCTTCTACAGTACATCCCAGTACCTTTGATCTACAGTCATTTCTATGGTATTTCCAAAATTATTCCACTTACACATCCTTTTGAAAAAGCTAAAACGTGTCAATTGCTCTAGAATATGTTGTTACAGCAGTATGTAAACTCTAAGCTCTTTCACAGGCAGTTGCATGGAGCCTTTAGCTGGCAGTTAATCTGGTTCCAGTCATGGCTCCTTAGATTCAATTCTCCATCGAATTTTGGCCAATGCCTTTTCCCCCCAGCAGTCCCCAGCACTCAGTCTCCAAAGTGGCTTTTCAGAGGGAAGCAAAAGAAGGTCGATACAAAGATGTGCCCTTCTGTGAACATCCTGCATCCACATTCCCTAGGATGCAAGTCAAAGCTTATTCATTTATCATTAAATTTCCACAAGTTTCCTTCAGATGGGGACATAACTTTGAAAAACAAAAAAACCAACCTTTTCTAAATATCCCCATCCCTGTAGCTTGTAAGCCTCTGTCTGGGTTTCTCTCAACATTTATTAAACCCTTAACCATATTCAGCCATTTTAGGTTTGCAGTAAAGTCACCTTCCTTATTCACCATAAACCCTTTTGTTCACTGCAGTGTCGTGATACCTTTATTTTATATTATTTTGACAGGAAGCCATGTAGGTGAAGAGAAGAATCTGCAAGTCTCCTTTGAACTTTAAAATATAAATTGGCACATCAGAGAGACAGCAGGAAAAACTTCACTATCAGGAATTGAGAATGACTGGATAGAGCGAAAGTACAATTTTGAAACGAGCACCTTTAGTTTTGATCCATGTGGCACAGGATGAAATCCATCTGGTCCAGGTGGGATGAACAACTCCCATTTCCCAAAATCCATTTTCTTATATGGGTGAGAAAATGGATTCCAGTTATCTGCAATAAAAGAAAAGTACTAAAATATTGAACATGTATTAAAATGCATCATTAGTATGTAAAATGAGAAAGTGGGCACAGATGAAGACCAAGCTTCTTTCTGTGCAATAAATCTTACTACTTTGAGATTTTTTAAAGCATAAAACTCCTTTCTTAATTCTCCTTTCACATGTTTCCCTCTACCTCCTTAGGCTTTTTCCTCAATACTTCCCTGATAGTACCTGTCACAGTGCTTACTGGTCCCCTTCATGTTTCTTTTGAATGCCATCTTCCATCACCGTTTTCTTCTAATGAAACCAGTTGTGTTGGCTGGAGCCGATAGGAGCTATACTCCAAAACATCTCAAGGCCCCAGGTTGGCAAAAGCTACAGTTAAAAGGTCCTCTGTTTCAACCTACTTATCAGACCATTATTTTCAACAAAGAATAATCATTAATATCCCACTTTTCTACAAAATGTACTGAGGGTGGTAGGCAGAAGAACCAAAAAACCAGTTCCCTTCTTAGTCGGCTATCTGTTGTCTCCCCAGCCTATTCCACCGATTCATGTATTAGTCCGCTCTTGCAGTGTCTTCTAGCATTTCCCTAAATTGGCTTGTGGTTTTGCTCTTGTACCTTCCATCCTCAAACTCTTTCTTGATCCCTTGTGACTGGATAGCACTCATTACCCTGTTCCACTTCCCTTCCTGTCCATGCCTAGAATGTGTCACATTCTCTCAGTGTTTCAACTTCCTGCTTGTCAATTCCCTACTTGATTCCTTTCAGTCTAGATTTTGCCCAGATTATTGCACTAAAAAGTGTCTTCGTGCATATCTGTGACAACACATTCTACTGATGGCACTTTTTCTTTGTATTTCACTTAGAGGTTTCTGCCATCACTGATACAGCTGATCTTACTATTCTTTCTTCCTTGCGCCCTCTGTTCCGGAGACTCTGTCCTTGCCAAATGCAATCTTCTCTCTCTGATCTTTCTTAACATTTCTTGAAGTAGTTCCTTTTCTTCTTTTCCTTTATCTGTGAACATGTTAGGATTTTCCCCATATGCGTCCACTATCAGTTCATTTGAACCCAACTGCCAAGACTATACAGACAGCTGCAAAAAAACTTTCTTTTTCTGTGCCTAACCTCTCTCTCATTATTATTCTAACATTTATGCCAACAGGAAAAGGTTAACAGACGACCTGGGACGAAGGTTTGCTCCTAATTATTCTGAATAAAATGCATTTTCACCAACAGAACATGTATTTGGGACTAGGTATATTAAGGTTTGCAACACTAAAATGCAATAGCATTAGTACAATTACAAAATAATTCAACTGTAACCCTATGCAGGTCTTCCATGGGGGTGGGGGGAGGACATGCTAGTCCCCCCATCTAACCCACTGACATATCAATGGCCTTCCAACTCATGCCTGGTTCATTTTGCCTGGTTGAGTTTTAGCAATGTATTTTAGTCACATTGGAAGTTTGTATCTACATACTGTAAATATATTCAGCAATTTTATACACACACACACACACACACACACACACAGTGTTTTTAAGAACACCTACATTTTTCATTTCACAAACACAGAGACAATAGCTTTTTTGCAGGCAGAAATCAAGGCTGGAGATCTATAAATCAATAAGGAGCTTCTCCACCCCATTGTTCAGCCCGGACACTAAGGTCCAGCACCAAGGGCCTTCTGGCAGTTCCCTCACTGCGAGAAGTGACGTTACAGGGAACCAAGCAGAGGGCCTTCTCGGTAGTGGGGCCCGCCTTGTGGAACACCCTCCTATCAGATGTCAAGGAAGTAAGCAACCATCTGACTTTTAGAAGACATCTGAAAGCAACCCTGTTTGGGGAAATTTTTAATGTTTGATGTTTTAGCGTATTTTTAATATTCTGTTGGGAGCCATCCAGAGTGGCTGGGGAAACCCAGCCAGATGGGCAGGGTATAAATAATAAATTATTATTAAATATTATTATTATTATTATAAGGGTGTAGAGGAAGCAATATATTTCAGCAGGGGAGTTTGCAAGCAGCTGTTTGAAATATAGAGGAGATCCGGCAAGTTATAAAGAGGACAACTGGAGTCTGCTGTGTTATCTAAGATAGGCACGTCCAGCTACCAAGAGACTCACTATAATAAAACTGGCAGTGATCTACCTATTGTCATTGCCAGGAGTTGCTGAGCTTTTTTTAAGGGGAGTGGCCAGAGTTGTTGTGCTTTTTGGGCCACAGTTGTTGTTGAGCTTTTTGGGGGGATCGGTCAGGAGGACCCACACGATCACTTAGATTAATCCCACGATCTACCTGTAACGCTGCCATGATTGACCGTAAGATCACAATCTACCTGTTGGACATACCTGATGTAAGGCAAGCAGAATCTGTCTCCCAGATGCAGCTTCTGCTTGGCTGGGAGAACTAGTACCTCTCTCCTCTGCCCAGCTATCCTGATAGGAAAGGGAATGGGCGCTGACACTTATTCTTCAGCGCCATCTGAAAACTTCAATTTCTCACAAGCTCAACAACCCAGCCCAGTAATCATATTTCAGACTGACTACATTAAGCAAAATCTGCATGCCAAAGCTGCATTTAGTTAGTAGCTGTGTATGCGCCCAGTGCTCCACCGCACCTCATGTGTGCTATGCCTGCTCATTCTTGTCTGCTACTACAACACAGCTGCAAGCAGGTTTGCATGGTTTGAAGTGGGCTTGTTTCAACAAAGCATAGTTTGGACAAGTTGGCGACATCACAGCAAGCTGCAGAAGCTTCCAAACTGCTGCTGAAGAAAGAGAGGTATGGGGGGCAAGTGTGTGGCTCATCCCCATGATGCTAAAGTCATGGGGCCAGGGTTTCCCAAAACTACCAATTCAGTATGAATGTCATATCACAGATTCCCAAGAGGCTATGCAGTGGCAGAGGTTAAATACTTTATGTTGCCTTTTTAAAAGAAAAAGAAAACAGAAAACTGCACTGATTCACTGGCATGAAACCAACAGCACTTAAAGTTTCAGTACGATAAAAATTCAAGGGGGGAAACTGCCAAGTGTCAAATGATGTGACATTCCAAGTCATGCTTTTTTAGCATACATCAACACTCAGGAACAATTTCTTAGGAAACCGACACAGAAGTTGCAGGAAAATGTGACTTCCCCATGGAACTATAGCCACACAACTGGCCATAATGTTAGCTTTCTGCACACTATGTAGTTGAGCCAATCTTGTGAAGTTTCTCCATGTCAGTGCCATGCGTTCATGAACAGCAGCTAGAGAAGCTCTATGCAATTAGACTGAAATACATAGTTAGTCTGAAATACATTATCCCCAGCTGTGTGGGCTAGAGCAGATGACAGGTGCAGTCAAAAAAGATTTGGAGGGCACCAGGGTGGGGGTTCTGTCTTAAACCATCTATCAAGGTTCTAAATATACATGAACAAGACTTTTATTGTGAAGTGGCAAACCCTAAGATACTGATATTTTGCTTGTACTCCCTTAGTTACTAAGCAATAAAATGTGTAAATAAAATATTCAGTGTCATTTACCAGAAGCTTTTCAGGAAACTATAATGTCAATACCGCCTCTCGTATCAGAGCTTCAGCTTACTAATTGCCTCATATACATGATTTACTAAGCTTTTAAAACTACTAATTGACAAATCGTAATGCTGTGAATGTTCTTTTAATAGTCTTGAGTGGCTTTTTTGGGGTAAGTCAAGAGACGTTTGGTTCAGCGCAACTGGAGGCCCACACTAAAAGTTAAAATAAAGGATGGTGTGTACTCTCACTCACACACACTTATTTCTCATCCTGCAGTGTCATGGGCAGATGGAAGCTAAGCAATTCTCACTGCAAAAGAAACAGGAAGAGAACAAAGACTGAACTTCCAGAGACAGAAGGAGGGAGAGAGAAGCTGGTTTAGTTCCAGGCCTGGTACACCTTCTCTGCTCATAATGAAGCAGTTACTTGCTAAAAGAAGTTTTAAAAGGAATCTGGCATTCTAGGTTTTAGTTTAGTTTCTAGAAACTCAGTTCTGAGTTCCAAAAAGCTCCCAAGTTAATAATACATTCTGTATTTAATTTGATTTATTTCCAAAGCCCCTAAAACCTACTAGGTGCTGTACAAAGTATAAAAACAGAAACCAAACTAAATTTGAGGTATTTTAACATAACTGAAATGTAAAGGTAGGTGAAAATGATATAATATTAAAGCAAGCACATCACTAGCAACTTGATTCTATGTCTTTGGGATTTTGCAGCCCAATTCTTCCTGGGAATATTACTAATACCCATCTGCATTTAATGACAACTTCCATTCCTTAGGCCTTTTGATTCCATTAACTGCCCCCTTGGGAATAAATCTTCTACTTTGACTGATGATGAATAAGATATATAGGGCAACTAACATAATTTTTCATCTAGAAGACTAAAGGAAGATTCAGTCCAGACATCTTACTGATTAGTTTTATTAGCATCTTGAAGTAGTGGTGTTAAGTTTATAAAGAGATGCATTCAATCCATTTAAGAACACTGGGGAGAGTTTTGCATGACATGCAGAATCTGGTAAATGTCCCTTTTCTATCGAATTATTTAAAAGGTACAGAATCCACATTCTTTGCCTCTGGTCACCCTGGAGGAAGACTGACATACATAATAAAAATGTAAATGCGTCCAGCCCAATCATCTCAGTGCAAACCTAAAGGTACTAAACTAGAAGGTTATGTGTGAAAACCAAAGATCAGATTATATCTTCCAATCAGCATGTCACGTGCATATATGGAGAGAGTGACCAGTGGTGAACTTCTTCTTCCCTTTCAAGTTGTTTTTTGGGACCAGGATATACTGGCATTCACAATAGCAGATGCACACTTAGTAGCTGAATGAAACTAGCGCTTCACTCAGCATTTGATCACTGAACACTTGTGCTATTGCATGGAACCAGTAAGGTTCATTTGTTGTAAATCACGAGAGACACAGCAAACAAGTTCTATTTGAAAGATTTTTTCTGGCACTAGAATATTTTTTTAATGTTTTTTTTTAAACTCAAATCAATTAAGACACTCAAATTAAGAGTATGTCAGCCAGTTATTGAACGAAAATAAGCACGTCAAGCTCTTAGAGCAATTTACAAGTTTGCTGTCTGTAAGCCAAGTACATCTAATTTCTGCTATCAACTTTCTAATTTCAGTTTCGTTTGACTGTGCTTTATGTGTTGACCCTGCAGGATCAGAATGTGTTATATAAGGTTTCCTTCCTTATGCAAGCCCCTGTCAACCTCCCAACCAATGCCTTCTACTAAAAAACAGACATTTTGTTTGTTTTTTGCTACTCTTCTGTATTGTTATCAGGTTGTTGATTGACTGGTATCCATTTGTCTCAGGATATTTTGAGTAACTTCTTCACCCCCATTTCAATCTGGCTTTTGGTCTCTTCAACCTGGAAACATTAGTAAGACCTTTTTCATGAGTAACAATCTCTTAGGAAAGAATCATGGCCTTAAATTCTTTATTCGCCAGTATAGATGCTGCTTTTGATTCTCTTTGCCACATTTCTTTTTAGTCTAGCATTTTGGAGTTTTCACTTGGTTTTGTTTTTATATTTTATGTTTTATATGCTTTCAGCATTTGCCAGCAGTTTTCTCTTTTCTACTCAGTCTGTGGAGGATCTTCAGATCCATTGTTCGTGATCCATCTTTTTTCACACACTGAAAATTCATTTCCTCTTTTAGATTCCAGTAGCTTTTCTATGCTGACAGCTTTCAACATTCCTTTTCTTTTTTCTACTGCTAATCATTACTACATTCCTGACCATCCTTTGGCTACTTCTGTCTTCATACCTCAGTGCCACCTGAAGCTTAATATAGGTCAAACAGCTGATTATTTAGGGTGAAAAAAATCACACACACACATTCTCTGTTGAAAATTATGTTCCACAAACTTGATTACACGTAGTGTCTTAGTACAATTTTTGACTTTTCTCTTTCCACCAAATTGATTCTGTTGTCAAATCTTGTCATTTTTATATTTAGCAGTGTTGCTCAAGCTCATATTTTCCTTTCTCTGTTTCAACTTCAAAAATGCTTATTTGACCTTTAATATTTCACATCTTGATTATTGTAATGCTTTTTGCTCTGGTCTATCTAAAACTATGCTGCCCATATTATTACTTTTGCTCACAGCAACTTCCAATTGCTGTCTTCAGTGGTGATTCTTAGTTTACCTCATTCCATTTAAACCTCTGTCCACATTGCCAGAAAGCTTGACAATGAATTTATAATATGTGTTTTGCCACCATAGGTTTGTGTCATAACCCCACTTACTTGGGAGCAAGCCCACACCAAATTCAGTAAGACATATCTGAGTAAACATAGGATTTCACCTTACCCTTATTTCTCCCTATTGCAGGGTTTCTTTTCCTTGCTTTTTCTTTTATTGAAAGCCAACTCCTTCAGGAGGAACATCTTTCTATTCTACATCAATAAAGAGGCATTGCCACAGCTCAATAATGCATTCCAGTCATCCAAAGGACTTAAGGAGGGCTCAGAGCAGAGCCAATGTAGTCTGGGAAATGGGTGTGGCCTTGCAGAGTCCAAAGAACTGGACAGAGAATACTAGAAGGCTGCACTTAAGACCCTTCTAGTCCAAATAATAAAATTCCCAGAAAGGTGTGGCACTTCTTGAAGTCACTTCTGTAGAGTCACTTCTGTTGCCTTTATACCACACATGCCAAAAGGCGAAGGACCTTGAAGTCAGTTGGGCTCTACTGCCATGTCTTTCCAATAGCAGTCCCATCTTTTCCAAATAGCCATTCAAATGGATATTAAAAAAACAAAAATGTACTATTTTCTCTTAATTAGAGAAGAAGTTTTAAATGAATGTGTCTAGATGTATTTAACATTTTATTTGCAACCTGCCTTTTGTCCAAGAAGCTCAAGGTGGCATACATGGTGTGTCAATCACCACCCCCAATTTTATCTTCACAACAATCCTGTGAGCCAGGTTAGACTGACAAATAGTGAACCAGCAAGTTCCCCTGGTGTGTTTCATGGTTAATTAAGAGATTTGAACTTAGGTCTTCCATTAAGCATCAGTGAGTGCCACCCATTGTTCACTCACACATTCCCCTCTCAACATCAAATTGCATTTTCTGATATAGTGTTAAGATTGTAGTGATAACCTGGCAACAACGAATTTTGCACTTAGCCCTGAAGCTGGCAATCCTTTATTTAAAAGAACTAATGTGCAGAGCCATGAAAATATGGGCATAAAAACAGAATCAACAGAAAAACAGATGCATACATAAAACATGTGCTTGAAAATACTTACTGAAGTCTCCGGTAAGAAACACCGCTTCTGCCCCAGGAGCCCATTCCTTACAGTACAATCCTCCATCAATAAATCTGTTGACTCCAAATGTTTGGTAACTCTTTGTAAATTTGTCAAGGCCACCTTCATTTTCTTCAATGTTCTTCAAGATGCGATGGAAGAGACTATACCTTTCAACAGAAAAATGCATTGAAGGAAAGTATTACTAAATAATTTCAGTAAAGCTGCCAATGAAAGTCCCATTTTAAGACTTGTTCAGTCAAGTCTATTAGATGATAGTCCCAGTATTCCTTTTAAGCATCATCAAATGTTCAGATCATAAAATTCTAAATTCTAAAAGTTAGGTATATCTGGCATTATAAGAATAGTATATGTTCTGTGACTAGTAGCTTTGAACTGATGGAGTGAATTGTTATTCACTATGACAGCTATGTGGCACTCCACCGAATCCAATTATTAAAAGGCTAATTTTTCAAAATACTAGGATCATTATGCTAAAGCAAATGGCCACCAAAACATCCCACACTTTCCTTGAGAAACAGTTTTTCTTCATAAAACAAAAGCTAGAGCATGGCACCTCTATTGTAAGATACTCAGTTTTATCTAGTTTAAAAGGGTCATTTGTTCAAAGGAAACATCAATCATAGTGACAACTAAGATATTACACCTTGGGGGAAAATACCACTGCTGGGAAACAGTCTCAGGTTTATTTAAAGCTGTGGTATAGAAAGAGTCACTTTAGAGACATCGTATTAAGAGGGTCCTTAGGTCTCATTTATTCGTTATTCCAGTTGATTATATTACTTTTTTTTAACTCACAAGGTTAAGCCTTCCCAACAGCTTTTATTCCAGAGGCGGGTATTTACCTCACAGCCAGTAAGAATTTCAGAAGAAGCAGAGCCTGAGGATAGTGGGCATGTTCTTATAATGCTCTTGTTCCACACATAGAAACCCCAACATTACAACTGGGAAATTTGCCCATGGGTATCATGCATCAAAAACAGTGTAATGATTTCTGTAACCTCCATAGTCAGTTCTCTTATTATGCAGTATATAACACTCTCTCGCTCTCTAAATATAAAAGTTGTTTTCTCAACAAACATGTGTGACAGGTGATAGAATTTTAAAGCTTGTTGCAATTTAATTTGAATGCATAAAATATAAGTCAAACAAAAAGGTGGGGGAAAGACGATTTATGCACTTTTGGAGGGGAAAAGGTCAAAGCACAGCGAGAAAACAAGTTGCCGCAATATACGTGAATCCAGTCTCCGGCAAAGGGTACAGGACATTGTAAGAAAACCACCACTAGCAAACCCCAAAACAGAAGCACTGCCCATCTGGACTGCAGTTCCCCATCCCAAAGGAGCACAGTGTTTGTATTTAAGACGGCTGTGGGGCACAGTGAAGCAGAATCTCCTGTAGTACAAAAACCTTTCAGTCTCTTTGCTCTGCTCACATAGGTAATCATTACCTATATGCGTAATACTGGGCCATGAATAACATCAGGTACTATCAAGCGAGAACCCAAGAGGTGCAGGCACTGTGCTGACCTGGTCTTTTTCATGATCCAAGGAGGAGTTAGTGATGAGCAACCTAGTATTAAGGACATTGACATCAGCATCCTCATGAATTGGAATGTGGCTTCAGGATATGAATATATGTATACATGAATATAAATACAAATACAGATATAGAGAAGTAAACTTCTCTCTCTCACTCTCTTTTTTTCTTAAAGAACTCTTGAAACCATTTAGGACATCCCAAGCTACATTCATACCTGAAGTCTACCAGTATAGAGTCTATGTATCGTAGATAGGTTCTGTACCCCGGGATTAGCTCGATATGGAAATGCAGTTGTGGGGGAAAAGCCTTGCCTAATAAATTTCTTACTTGTCATGTATGAATTCAAGGCACAGGTGCCATTCCAGAGGAAGACAGGTAGGAAATCTAGTCCCATACTCTTATGGCAAGTACCGACACTTGATTTGAAACCTTATTTTATACTCTGTAAATCTCAGTACTTCTCAGTTGCTGATGACTATATAGTCCTAAACGGTGGTTTCATCTTAAGATAAATTAATCAGTGAGATGACGCTGGCATTGTCCCCATGCACTTTAAGGGAATATTCACTGTCTTTTAAAGCTGTCAAATAACTTTCCTGTGAATTTTTTTTAAATATGCTGCTCACTTACTAAATTTTAATTACCTATTAGTGTTTACATCTCTACCAAATAACAGCTGATGACTGGAAATGTCAAGGAAGGACTTCATTATTACAATTTAATCTTTTTCAAATATTCTTGTGTGTGTCTGTGCTTTTGGATGCTAATTGGATATGTTATATATAGCGACGTTCCTGTAAAGGCTAGGACTTGAACAAATGTGTGGAACACTGCATGTACAGCAGATCTTTTTTGTTTTGCCGGGTTGTGGAGGGTGAAGGACTTCCTAATGCAGTGGCTCATCCACAGTGTACCTTATGGAAGTGTGTGAGGCAGCTGGTAAGGAAGCAATGACATATGTGCACAAAGAATCACATGTATAAAATTCTTTGGATTCTACTCTTTGTAAAGAATTGCTTAGTAGTCACATACAATCAAATCGTTATTTGTTTCCCTTCATTTTGATTACCATCAGTTATCTTGTGCAACAAAAAGTGTGTACCTAGGATGTTCAAACTTTACAGGAAAAGTGAAGAACTGCTGTGAGTCAAGGTAGATGGATCAATGCTCTGACTTCTTATAAGGCAGCTTCCTATGCTGTTCCTCTATTTATTATGCAAATTAATGCATGCTTACCACAAATAGTCCTCTGGAAAAAGTTAATTACAACTTTGAAACTGCCCACTTCACTGCATTATGTTACTAATTATGTAGTAATCATGTATAACCATTACATTACTAATTAAGCTGGTGAAAAAGAAATGGCTTTTGTTGAAAATTTACAATATATAGCAGTGACAATTTCCACAGAAAATGTGTCCATTACAAAACACATTGTATGGTGTGGAAATATGTAATTGTATTCTTCCTTTGGCAATGAAACGTCTTGACATTGATTTGGCTGAAATAGTGTGGACAGGCAACTGCTAATCATTCCAAACTGCCTGGACAAGGAGCGGAACAAACAAAATCTCCTAATGTTTAATACAGAGATGATGGGATGAGTAAGAGGGAAGTGGGCAGACAAGTATGGATTGAAGAATTGAAAGGCTGGGACTGATGACAGGGAGTGAAATAATTCCTAACCCAATAGCATCCTCCCCCAATGTGCTACCCTTCAGATATTTGGAGCTACAACTCCCATCAGCCCCTGCCAGCACAGCCAATGGCCAGGAATGAGTTTTCTAGTTCAAATGTTTGGAGAGCAGTAGGTTAGGGAAGGCTGCTTCCTGTAAGAGGAACTTGGGTGGGTTATTTTTATTAGCTGTGGCTTCTGCGGTTACTTTGGCATTGTCACCTGGAAACCCTAAAAAGGCAGAAAGAGCTAAGAAGCAGTGAAATGAAAGGTTGGTGGGATTTCACACATTGATTGAACTAATCAGTCATTTCCTTGGCTAGAGCCTGCAAAATGGATGGATTACTTAACACTTGCTACCTAACTTCAGTTCACTGTTTCATGCAATCCTCTTTTGTTTTTGTTTTTTTAACTTTTTACCAAAATAAATTCATGTGAGCAGCACTCATATGAATAAAATACATAAAAGCAAAAAAATAAAGCAAACAGTTGAGACAACAAAAGTTAACCGGAATCTCAAAGGAAATAGATATGTGTTGATGTATATTCCCTCCATAATTCAACAGTTATTAAGGGCAAACTGTGTTAGTCCTATACCAAGCATGTGTCACATGGCTCTTGTATTGATTGTTTTCACTTTTGCAATCCTAATTTTGATTCTCTGCATAAATGGTGAAGGGAAAAGACGTTAAAAGCACAGTAGACCACAAGGGATTGCAAGGTGTAATGCTAACTTAAAGGGATCTTTGTTGCCAAGTGAGAAGAAGTTGCTTCCAAGTTCCTTCGCCGTTTTAGCAAGGTAAACAGATGTAGCCTTCGCAACCATTCACTGAGCATGACAAGTAAGAAATTTATCAGGCAAGACTTTCCCCCAAAAACTGCATTTCCATATCGAGCTAAGCCAGTGGTACAGAACCCATCTCTCCATTCAGGCAAGCAAGAGGCATTATCACAATTCAAGAATCCATATATACAAAAGCTCTCATAGAGTGTGAAGAACAGTACAGTGGTACCTCGGATTAAGAACTTAATTCGTTCTGGAGGTCTGTTCTTAACCTGAAACTGTTCTTAACCTGAAGACCACTTTAGCTAATGGGGCCTCCCGCTGCCGCCGCGCTGCTGGAGCACAATTTCTGTTCTCATCCTGAAGCAAAGTTCTTAACCTGAAGCACTATTTCTGGGTTAGCGGAGTCTGTAACCTGAAGCGTATGTAACCTGAAGCGTATGTAACCCGAAGCATATGTAACCCAAGGTACCACTGTATAGGGAGGGGTGTGGCTTGGAAATGGTCATGGTCTGGGGCAACTTCTAACCAGAGACACATGGAAAGCCACATTTAGCCTCTTGGCCTGAGGTTCACTTCGTGAGCTAAGCTATACCCGTACAATTACTGTGCGTCATACTTCTGTGAGAGACTCAAGGAGAGAAACAAGGCAACAATACTATGTAGGTTCAGTTATGCTAGTAAATATAATTCTCACTGTCTATAATGGACTGTTTAAGCTTCTGAGAACAACGGAAAGACCCCTGTTTAATTAGCACAGCTGCAAATCAAGAGACAACTGTTTTGTTTTTTAAAAAATTAATTAATTAGTTTGATAATGTTTGTATCAAATCATTTTTTTATGCTTTGCATTTTAAGCATGACTACTGAGACGCAATACTCAAGGAGCATTACTACCTTGTAAGTGTGTAGTGGATGGTAGTGGCAGCCTTAAAGATTTAGTGGCCTGCTTCGTATTGGGACCCACAGGCGCTATTTATCTAGCACCTGCTTCAGCATCACTTCACGATTCCTCTAACCTCTAGCTTCAGTACAATTGACATAAATGGAAAAGAATGCTGGCATCTTCATATTTAGTCATTTTTTAATTAAAAAACAACAACCTTAAAAGGCCATATTGATTACCTGATCCTCTTGAATTGGGTTTT